CACAAAAGGAAGCAGTTGTGGAGTAAAAACGTTATAGTGTTCTCTTTTGTTGGACAACAGGTTTAGAAACGCTTCTCATTGCAAGTCATTGCAAGGAAAGTTTAGCTTTAGGCATTTTAATTTAAGAATGTTTAGCTTAGCTAGCTAACGGTATCTGCCTGCTGCCATCAGAGCAAGTTTAATTGCTGCATTCACGCGCTCCTCAGATGCTTTCATTTCCCGAGTTGTGCTTTTAAGTCGGAATGTGAAAACAACATGGACACGCTCGTTACTACAAGGATTTGTTGGATGGTGATCCTTACGTCTGTTTCGGAGAACAAATATTTCAATCGATCGCTCAATCATTTAAAGGCACAATATGTAATGTTCGCCGCTAGAGGGCGCGTATTCAAAATAAACAAAGAGACAAAGGCGTAGTTTGATGATGCCGTGACTGAGTGTGGAATCATGGGAGTTGTTGTCTTCATCCCCACAGCCGATGCAATCTGACGGGACTCGGGCAGAAATCATGTTCATGGATGAGCTAATGATTTATTAACGTAGTAGAATGAAGCAGGGTGAGGCTGAAAGCCATCGAAGCGAAACGAGGCCGCTGAATGAGCGTGACACACGGCTCTAAAGCAGCGGAGCTTTTATTATACCACAGTCAACCGCTTCCGCTCCTTCCGGTCGTGTGTATGTGGAAAAAAAAGCAGCGCTGTTTTATCATACTAGATACATTTGAAAGTTCTGTTATAATGCTACTCTGTGCGGTCGTCACCTGTCTAATAAAACGCATTACATATTAAAGTGTCTTTGGTGTTTTCATGTTTTCTACAAAACAAAACCAGAAATTGAGGGGTTATGACGTCATTGGCAGGCGACACAATGACACTATAGACACGGTCCGTGTCACTAGTTAAAATTGCTTATTTCTCTGGATTTAAACATTCTTCGAAACATTTGGGATAATGTAAGTACACAAGTCAGCAAAATATATAACACTGTTCTAGTGGTTTTTGGATATTTTAATAAACAAATCTTACATATTGTGCCTTTAAGTGGCACCGAAATTTGCGTTCTGATTTGGTTCTAGTAAATACCGGTTACGGTTTCGGTACCCAACCCTACTTTAGAATAGGGAACACTATTTACTATTAACAAGTTGCTTATTAGCATGCATATTACTAGCATATTGGCTGTTTATTAGTACTTAAAAAGCACATATTAATGCCTTATTCTACATGACCATATTCTAGATCCCTTAACCTGACCACATGCCTAAACTTAACTACTACAACAACTACCTTACTTGCTCTTAATTAGCTTTAAATTAGTAGATTTATTGATGGAAAACCTCAGTTAATTGTGAATATGTGTTCCCTTATCTAAAGTATTAGATAAGGGAATACATCACTTCATTGATGTTGACCGATAAGTTCATTCAAAGATATCAAAGTATATGTCCTTTTTATATGTCACCACCATCTCTTGAACTAGAGGAAGAGGAAACTGGAGCCTAAAAAAGAAGTGAATGTCTTTGCACCTTTTAAGTAATGAATGTCTTAACATGCATTTTAATGGTTACTCATTATTGCTAAAAGCATACTTCACTTCCTTTTTTTCCTCCCATGTGGGAGTATACCAGCCATGACTGGCAGGTTTCATATAAAGACAAACAAGTGCTCTCATATCATGTGGGAAAACAACCTACTGAACATCTGGGTTGGTTTTTCAGCCCAGAAGAACAGCCTTGTTTAAACTCTTGAATCAGCTACAAATTCCACTTAAAAAGCCATTTGATAGGTGAAATAATGTGTATTTTTAGAATTGTGTGACTCTTCTTTTTTTTTTTTGCCATGCACACTGACCTAAGTTTCCCTTTGAAATTTAGACTGGGACAGAGAGAAACTCCTGGAAGCTTGGATGTCTAATGCTGAAAACTGCTGTCAGCGCTCAGGCGTTCAGATGCCAACTCCCCCGCCCAGAGGCTACAACACCTGGGACACCCTGCCCTCGCCCCGTACGCCTCGCACCACTCACTCATCCATCACCTCCCCGGACGAGATCAGCCTGACCCCTGCTGATGATGATCGCTCCTTGGTGAGGGATCAGATTTGGTCCTCTATTAGTAATTGTACAGCCTCTTCTGTGGAGAATCATGTACAATAGTTAGTCTTAATGTAATAAAATGTAATACTTAAATGATTAATTTGGGTGGTGTAGCCATGGGGTTTGATCTGGGCTACTGTTAGGTTGTAGGTTCAAATCTCATAAACGGGATCAGTGAATTACAACCAGGTCCAGTGTGCCCCTGAAAATACATTTACCTCTACTACTACCTCTTAAATAGTGTTGTATGAAGGATACCAATCATAAATGTTTCTGTTCAAAATCTTGTTACACAGTGCATATCTATAAATCCATATTCATACCAAGGTTGAACTTTCACCTACAGATAAACCTAAATATTTTTGTAGATGAAAATGTTGCTCTAACAACATTTTCTCCATATTTTGCATTTGCAAAAAGTTTTTTGTTTTTCTTAAATAAAAACAAGGGCTTTAATAATATGTAAATATAAATAAAAGTAGCGGCTATTAGAAAACACCCAAAACCAAAAACATTTTTTAAAAGAATTGGGTTCAACAGTTTTTGTTTATATTTAGTAAAATATATTTGCATGCATAATAAACTTGAAAAAGGAAATTTCTAAAACATTGTTCTTTATTCACTTTACTTACTACTTAACAGATTCTCTATCCTCAAAATGAATCCAAATGCACAGGAAAATACAAACACTAATAAGTCAAATCGGCAATAATTCTATGATACATTTTTTTAACCCATGTTGGGCTTCTAAGTTCCAATGATTAAATTCAGCCATACAAATATCTCAAATCAATTTATAAATTCAGATCCAAGTATCATTAGTTTTATTGCTGGATCCTGTGCTTCTGACAGATTTGGGTTATTGCGTCATATTTGGGTTGTATGGTTATGAAAAACCTGGAAAAGACATGGAACTTTAAAACAGCAATTTCCAGGTCTGGTAAAGTTCTGGAAAAAGAAATTATCCCATAAATCTTTAGAAAAGGCATGGAAATTTATTTCACACACCTCTGTGTAATAGAATTATGCTTCATCAGGTCCCGAATTTCAGTGTGGGATTGCGCATATATCGCATAGTTTGCATAGTTATACTCATTCCCGCAGATTTCGTTTTAAAATGAGGGAAATTCCTGCACACCTTTATTCAACATGTAGGTTAGATGAGTGTAAAAATATACACATTACATCAGTCATTTGAAAACCATGTGAGTGATTCAGCTGTACAGCGTCTTCACTCTTTCACTCTCTCAAAGTTGCTTCACATCGTCGTATCTCGTCTGCACTACAAGAGCTGCTGCATACAAAACGTTCACTCGCATTTCGGGACAGTTGACAGAACTGTCACTTGCCTAATAGCATCATTGTTGCATTGTCACAAAGATGTATCATTTGCATCTTTTAAAGTCTTTTTAAGCCATTCAGTACTCGCGTGCTCCAAAGGCGGTTTTCTGTGCACTCAGTTAGGCCTGGGCGATAAAACGGTATCAATATTTATCGACTGTACACCTTCTTCGATATCGATAGAAAAAATGTTCGATATAGCGCACGATATAGGCATGTGCTATGAGTGACGCAGACAGCACACACAAACACGAACACATGCTGAAATGAGTGCTGTGCCTGCCTGTGATGAGGAGATTGTGAATAAAGAGTGAATATTAGTCTAATTTAAAATAAACATTTGCATTTGAATGTTAGGTGTGCATCAGGGAGCGTCATCAGTGGCGCGCGAGATGCGGTGATGATGTAAGTGACGTTGCATTTGAATGTTTTGTTAGTCTAGCCCATGAGATGCGCCGCTGCTGTGTTATGCATTCAAAATATTAGAGAAATATAGTAGCTCAATGCGTAGAAGATCTTGAATGGGTTAAAACCAAAACCAAGCCATTCACACAGAACGCATATTCAGCGCATTTTTAGACAGACAAATATGAATGCTGCACTCACGTCTCACACAATAGATGTATAGAAAGCCATGGAAAGTTAAAACAGTTTAAACTTTTAGAAAACACGTCACGAATTTGTGGAGGTTTATTCCTTTTCACTGCGTCTCATATGTTTTTAAATGCAGTCTGTGTGAATGGCGCTTCGGCTCTTTGGATTAAGCAATGCATAAATACATGATGCTGTTTTGTTCATAATTGTTTATGCAATTTACGAAATTATATTTGATTTTTATGAGTTAATTTAGACGTGTGCTAGACGAATGCACGTTTTTATAGAGTTACTTGCTAAATGCTCTGCATTATTTTGCTCATTGCGCCTTCCTGTGGCCTCGGGAGACAATTAGACCTATACAATAAAGACCTATTTAATCTGCATATAAAACATTAGAAATGAGATATTTGTTAAATTTTTATTGTGTTTGATTTTTCAAACAAAAAATATTTGTTGTTTGTCTCAATAAGTTGTTAATTATAAATACAGTGGTTAAATTAAAAAAAAAATTTCGTATTGTTTTTTTGTTTTAAAAAAAGGTTATAAAAATGTCAATAATTATCGATACCGAACGATATGAAACATTATATTGTTGATACATTTTTTAGCTATATCGCCCAGCCCTACGCTCAGTCGCATCCAAAGTGTGCGCGTATAAAGCCGCTTCGCATGTATCATATGAGTTATTTCGCTTTGTTGCGCTTAAGCAACCAGATACACACAAAATTACGTCAAAATGGCAGTCTTGGCGAGTTATGTGCTGTGCTGTACGTCATTAATGTTAATCAAACAACAAAAGACAGAAAATCACTCACTGCTCTTGACTGAATAACTTTTGTAACTTTAATCTGTTTTTAATTTACAGTTTATTCGATTTTTGTACCTGAATACTGTAGCTTCTGTTAGACCAGAACAGTTTTCAAAACGAAATTCAGGTCCTGGGTTTAACTGATGATATTGGTTAAATAAAGTACAATATTCAGTGATGTGGTGAAATGTTCTCTGCGTGGAGTAACGTCTGGCGCAGTTGCAGCTTGTACTTATTATTAAAAACAAATAGAAAGCAAACAAGTAGCATTAATAGTAATTTTAGTTATGATACATTTGAATGCATTTTTATTCTTACTGTAAAATAATGCAACATTAGGTCATTAATATTTTCTCAAAAGTCATGGAAAGGTCATGGAAATGTTTTGGTAAAAATGTGTATGAACCCTGAGTGCTAAAACGACATTAGTTAAAAGGTAAGTTGATTTGGACACAAACTTACCAACATATCACACAGTATCGACTATAATTTCTAAGAGACCTGTTGCTTTGTGAAGCGAGCTTGGTTCATGAGCGATCACTCTCAGTATGTCATAGCACGATCAGTTCTTTCATGTATCAATAAAAAGCCTGACCCTGTAGCCTAAAAATGGGTGCATGATCACCACTTTCACAATAAAGCCACAGTCTATGCTAGAAACAAACTTGATAAGCATTAAATATGCACGAGGTGTTCAGCTAAATTTCTTGGATAGTGTAGTTTGTCATGAGATGAAATGGCCAAATGTCATTTCATCAAATGTTTATTATTCTGACCCATTTTATACTGCTTCATGTATAGAATGTATTTGATAGCTAGGTATACTATGTAGATATTTTCTCACAAATGTTGTTTTGTTCTCTGCTGTCAGTGCGGCATTTGTATGTGTGCAGCCTCCATGTTTGAGGAGCCTGTTGATATTCCATGTGGTCATGAGTTCTGCAGAGGATGCTGGGAAAGGTGAGGGTGTTTTCTTTGGAGACTTTGATTCAGTGCTTTAGTCACATTACAATCACCGTCAGTTCTCACTACTGCTGTAACGATCATGTGTACTTTGCCCTTGGCAGTTTCCTGAATATGAAGATTCAGGAGGGGGAGGCCCACAATATCTTTTGCCCAGCTTATGACTGCTTCCAGCTGGTTCCTGTTGAGGTCATTGAGAGCATTGTGTCCAGAGAGATGGACAAACGTTATCTGCAGTTTGACATCAAGGTATAATTGCATGATTAGATACACATTAGTCTTAATTATGTTCATAGATACTGTTGTAATTGTATTGTTCAGTGATGTGGTGAGTTAAACAGGAAGATAGATTAAGCAGTTCAGCAGTCAGTCAATATTAGGCCCCAGTTTTGATTCGAACCCTGTGATTCTGCGTTCATAGGTGGTTTTCCAGTCACACAGATCAGTCCTCTCAGTGAAGTTTGTGTTTAGTGTTATTGTGAAGTCAGTCCAGAACGGTGGAGCATTGAAATGGGAGCTGAGAGGGTTGAAGTAACTGTAACAATGGCAGCTCTCATCTAAGAATGTCTGAGAATGACACTTCTCACGCTGTGGAGTCCCAAGCCTTTCATTATGTTGCCATGGTGATGTTGAATCTTCCACAGGGGCGTCTGAGCTCTGTTGTTGCCATTTTTAGGGTCAGAGTGTACTAACGGACTTCTGGAGTTGTTGGTAAAAATTAACTCAGATCCCAGCATCATAACTAGACTCAGCAAATTAGATGAACCGGAAAGGACAAAATATTTTTAGTTTTTGTTTAATCAGCGAAGTTTTATGGCAAATTCTCAAAACTTTACATGACAGAAAGTTCAGAAATCATTCAGTTCCATCTGATAATGATTAATATTTAAGGCATAATGTACAGCCAGCTGATAATTTTATTGCAGAATAAATCCTGAGAAAAACCTGGACTATACTTTATTCTGCCTATTATTTACATGTACTTACCAAATAAATAGATATTTACATGTGTAATTTTTACAAGTTACATTTTTAATGTGTACACACCACAAATCAGAAGTTTGGGGTCAATAATAATAATTAAAAAAAAGAAGTTATTACTTTTTTTCAGCAAGAATGAATTCGGTTGATCAGAAGTGATTTAAAAGTTAATTGCAAATGATTTCCATTTCAGGTAAATGCTGTTATTTTTAACTTTATATTCATCAAAGAATCCTGATTTAAAAATGTATCATTGTTTCCACAGAAATATTAAGCAGCATAATAAGAAATGTTTCTTCAACAATCAGCATTTTAGAATGATTTTTGAAGGATCATGTGACACCGAAGACTGGAGTAATGGCTGATGAAAATTCAGCTTTGCCATAACAAGAATAAACTACATTTTATAGATTAAAATATAAACCAGTTATTTTAAATTGTAATAATTTCACAATATTGCTGTTTTACTGTATTTTGGATCAAATAAATTGATCAGTCTTGGTGGGTATAATAGACGTGTTTCAAAAACAAACACAAAAAATATTTTCACCCCAAACTATTGAACAATAGAGTAGTATAATAAAGCAATAAGTTTAAATATTTTTAATGTTAATCAGCAGTTCTATTTTAAGTTACCCCATCTAACTTTTTGTATCTCTTGCTGGTTTGTTCTTATAACCAATGATTGTTTTCTTGCTTTAATTTATTAATTAATTTTAATTTAATTTATTATTTGAAAATTAGCACTAAAGTCCTTCAAGGCTATTTTTACTAGAGCCAGAAACCATTAAGTAAAGAATTCGCTATTCTATTCTAATTTTTGTTGTTAAGAAAAAAGAGGACATGAGATAAAAGTCGCATGTTGCCGTCTAAAATTGTCAAATATGCAGTTCAGTAATTTTACATCAGAATCAGATAATTGCAGAGAGACACATATTAAAAGAATAAGGCAGTGTTTTGCATATTAAATGCCCCCCTCACTTGCTTTCTCCTCTATTCTTTCTCCGTCCTCCTCTTTACTCTTTTTCTTGTTCTTCCTCAGGCATTTGTGGAGAATAATCCTGCCATCCGGTGGTGCCCGCGGGCTGGCTGTGATAGAGCAGTGCGATTGGCCGGACAGGGGCCAGGTGCCAGCACCTCTGGCCCTCTCAGTTTCCCTCGCCTCCAGGCCCCTGCGGTGGACTGTGGCAAGGGCCATCTTTTCTGCTGGTCAGTGCCAGTCACTGATACAAATCTCTCAAGTCATTATACCATTATGCCATTTGTAATTCTGAACGAAATCTCCAGTTCACTGCATAATTTAACATGATTTAAAGGACAGATATTAATAGTATTGAAATAATATTAGTCGTATTTCTAAAGGACTCATATTCTGCACTTAGTTATTTTAGCAGTGCAAATGATGTTAAAGAGACATTGTCGAAAAGATCACACGTGTTACATACATATATATAAATGAAGGAAGAATGTGTGTTTGTATGTATGTTCTGCACACAGTGGTCTCTGGCGATGCAGCTTGGCGAGTTTCTCTTTCCCACAGCTCTGACCCTTATGTCCCCAACACACAAACACATAGACATATACACACACCCACACAGTGGGCTCGTATCTCATCACTGCCTGTGCCAGATCTGAGCATTACATCTGAGTCAAAACACCCTCCCCTCTCTCACACATTTAATCTGTCTGAGTGAATATGGACTGAATCTAATACGTAAGAAGCTGCCGTTTAAAAGGCGTCTGTGGTCAACAGTCTGCCAGCATTGTTTTATTTCAGTGGTTCTCAGCTGGTAAGTCACCATTCTGTCCTAATTGGGTAGTAGATATCAGGGAAAATACAATGCTAAATGTTAAACCAGAACATCTCAAACTCCTGAACCTGGAGTGTACAAGGAACAGATCGAAAAATTTGTTACATCACACCATGTTAATATGTTAACATAAGTTAATCTTTCACTCATGTTTGACACACATATTTATCCCCTCAAGCCATTCCTCCACCAACAATTAAAATGCATGGAATAGAAATAAAATATTCACTAGAAATGGAATTTCCTTCAAGCTTAGGCCTGACATCACACTGGTGTTTCTCCTCACAGGGAGTGCCAAGGAGAGGCCCATGAACCATGTGACTGCCAAACTTGGAAGATGTGGCTCCAGAAAGTCACTGATATGAAACCAGAAGAATGTGAGCCTGTTTTGCTGTACTTTAAGTGACTACTAAGATAAATATCCTAAAGTAATGTTCCTACCTGTCCAAAAATGGTTTTGGACCTCAAGCAACTTTATTTCTGTCTTTTTCCATTTCAGTGGCAGGTGTAAGTGAAGCATATGAAGATGCTGCCAACTGCCTGTGGTTACTCAGCAACGCCAAACCCTGTGCCAACTGCAAATCTCCCATTCAGAAGAATGAGGGCTGTAACCACATGCAATGTGCCAAGGTTATTTGTGTTATAATAATAGATTTATGTATATACCAGGTTAAGAATGGGGCGGATAATCCTGCTACACGGTCACTAAACAGGGAAAGACATTGCAAATACTAGCACTCCAAAAATAAAAAGTGAGAGATGGTTTCCTAGCAACACACTTAATCCTTGCTGTCAGAATCCCACAACTCCCAGTGTGCTACCTGCTAGACTGCCATATGCATTTGCTAGTGACATAATAAAAGTAGACCAATGGTTTGTTTTAATGTAGGTGTTGTTAATCAAGAATGTATGTGTGTACAGTGCAAGTATGATTTCTGTTGGATCTGTCTGGAAGAGTGGAAAAAGCACAGTTCCTCTACAGGAGGTTACTACCGCTGCACACGCTATGAGGTCATTCAGCAAGTGGAGGAGCAGTCTAAAGAGATGACCGTTGAGGTACATATTCTTACATATATGCTCATGCTGTTTTGTCTGTAAGAGTTATTCTAGAGTTTTTAATAATGAAGAAAGAAAAAGATCTCACAACTGAGTATGGCTGAGCCTGTACACTTACACACACTTTTTTTAATTGTTTGTTTTGTATTTTGCAGGCTGAGAAGAAACACAAGAACTTCCAGGAACTGGATCGCTTCATGCACTATTACACACGGTTTAAGAATCATGAGCACAGCTACCAGGTAAAAAAAAGTCTACAAAGATCTGCCTGATTTGACATAGTCTCAAATAGTCGTTGACTAAATGCCATGAAGTCTGGTTCGCAATGTAGCTTAGTCTGGCCAAAAACCACCTTGACTGGAAGAAATCATCAGGATACAATTTAAACCAAATAACCACCCACTGTTTTTTTTTTTTTTTTTTTTTTGCCGTTTTTGCATCATATGGTCAGTAGTTTATGCATCATATGGTCAGTAAACAGACATTTGGCAGTATGTGGACTGACATTAGTTGTGACATGATGACTCAAATGGTCTTTATCTGTATTATCTTTTCCTACAGCTGGAAGACCGTCTGCTTAAAACGGCCAAAGACAAGATGGAACAGCTTAGCAAAGTTCTGAGTGGACGTAAGATGCAAAACCTCAAGCATATAATCAATGTTAATAAATTATTTCTAAGCTATGTTAATGCATGGTCTACCTTGTATCAGTTGGTAAAATTTATAGAGTGAAAGTACTCTATAGAGAATTAAACTTGCTTTTCCATTCACACAGGGATTCCTTCTACATTTAGCAGTAGATCAAGTTTAATACTTGGTGTTGTAGACTTTTTTTATTAGATTTTAACTCCTATATTGTATTACTGTGTTGTTGCAGGAGAAGGCGGACCTCCAGATACTACTTTCATTGAAGATGCAGTGCATGAACTACTTAAGACTCGTCGTATTCTCAAGTGCTCTTACCCTTATGGGTTCTTTTTGGAGCCCAAAAGCACAAAAAAGGAAATATATGAACTTATGCAGGTTAGTAACACACATGGTAGTTATGGGAAATGCTTACCGTGGACGCTCTGAGTTAGCGACAACTTAATACTCTTATTCCTCTTGTTAGACTGACTTGGAAATGGTGACAGAAGATCTTGCACAGAAAGTCAACCGGCCTTACCTCCGCACGCCTCGTCATAAGATAATCCGCGCTGCCTGCCTGGTGCAGCAAAAGAGGCAGGAGTTTTTGGCCTCCGTGGCAAGAGGTGTGGCACCAAATGATTCGCCCGAAGCCCCTCGACGCAGGTAAGAGCCTCTTCCTGAATTACAGACTGCTTAAAAATAAACAAAAAAGCAAAATAGAAACCTTAAAAATTATATTTTAAAAATAGATTTTTTTAAATAAACAATAATGAAGATGTGTGTTTTAATGGTCATACTAACATTTTTTAGAAAATGTAAACTTTTGTTGAAAACCGTATAAAAAAAACATATGAAACCTGTTTTAAACTATATTTTTAAAAGACATAGAAAACACATTTCTATGAAGTAAAAGGGATATTTCACCCAAAAATGAAAATTCTGTCAATTACTCACCCTCATGTCGTTCCAAACCCGCAAGACCTTCGTTCATCTTCGGAACACAAATTAAGATATTTTTGAAATCCGAGAGCTTTTTGATCCTCTATAGACAGCAATGCAACTGAGACGTTCAAGGCCCAGAAAGGTAGGATGCATCGTCCTACCTTTGATGTCACACCACTGATGTCACATGGACATCGTTAAAATAGTTAATGTCACATCAGTGGGTCAACCGTAATGTTATGAACAGGGTGTCCGCGGGTCCTTAAAAAGTCTTAAAATGTCTTAAATAACGTTTTCCTAATATAAGGCCTTAAAAAGTCTTAAAATGTCTTAAATTCGGATTCGATGGGTCTTAATTATTTTTGGTCTCATTACCGCTAAAATAAGTCTGACGGACCTAATGACTGAAGATTTTTTCTTCCCGCGGTAAGTTACTGTGTCATCAGAGAGCATTGCAGTAAATTAGCAGAATACAAGCTCGCGCTGAGGCTCACTCTGTTTGTCTCGAGACTTCAGAG